TCATAGTTGTGCTATCAAAAAGGCTTCCTCTCTAAGGCTGTTTTAGTGACTAAAACTTAAATTTTTGGAGGCATCATAAAGCCTTGTCCTAGAAACTTTCACAGTGATGACTAATGATGCCTTCTTCTGAACAAATAATGCCGTGATGCCTGAATGATGACTGTGATGCCAGTTTCTGATGGTGCCTATTCTGATGACCATTGATGCCTCCTGATGACCAAATGGTGCCTATTGCTTACCGTACCAAAATGATGTTTTTTGATGCCCAAATGATGTCTTACTTTACTAGTGATGCCCAAATGATAATTAATTTTTCTGGCCAGGCATTTCACTCTTCTTAATGATTTAGAAAAGCACTGGTTACCATGCATCTTTGTGACAGAACTTGGAATCTAGTCATTGAAATAATTGTGTTTCTTATTACATTTACAATATATTTTATTTTATGAGGGTTGGGGGCATTCACCCCACATGCTGGTACATGTACATGTAGGTATATGTGCCACAAGTACAGCAGAGGCAAAATTAGGGGGCTCACCAAAAATGGGGGTTCACTGGAACTAAAGATCCAAGGAGTTCAGACCTCAAAATGTGCTTTGGAACTACATCTAAATCTGACTTAACTATGTAAAGGCATGTTGAATAATGTAATGCTTTGGAACAGTTTACTTGCCACAAAAGCTGGATATGCAAAGAACTCTTATCCATGTGAATTACATTCCTCACATGGCAGCCGCTCCTCTCAGGCAGCCCGGTGTCACATTTGAAGGTTTGGGATAAAAGACTAAGCATGATTCAATGGAATTGAAAAGGTGAAGTATTGTCACTTATTGTCAACATTTGTGGGCTCTGGAACAAAAATATGAAAATTTGCCATGTAATTAATCTGAAAGTTACATGCATCAGAATTTTTAGGGCATAAAATTGGGGCATTTCAGTAGCATATGTGTACCGTACAATATATTGTGAGTGCACAATACAATTAACTGCAGAGGACTTAGACCAAGAATATGGCCATAATATATCAGGTTCTTAATCAAGTAGTTCTATATTGCCGTAATTGGATTACTAATAACTTAAAGTTGTATTTATCAGATTCGTTGCACACACAGTAATTTCACCATGGTAGTATTGTTTCACAAATTATTTTACAGACAGAGCTAGACAAGATGGCTGATATATGGAACAATCACCGTATCCGACCCTCTGTGAATCTCCATGTACCAAGTGGCCATCCAATGATGATGTATCATACTCCACAAATCTGGGGTACTGAAGATCAGCTTTGCACCAATGTTGATGATGACGATCTGGCTGCATGCATAAGTGATGCTGTATTCCGATCTACCGTACCATGCGACAAAGATGTATATGACTTGTGTGTGTATATTATGAAAAGAGACAACCTTGATCAACCAATGGAAGTCCAGGATGCCTTAGAATTGTACATCCATCTGAAGCAGGAGATTACTGTGTTGCTTTAAATATATGCATTCAGGAAATTAAGCTGAAACCCCTGAAGCAAAATATATCTTAACCCTCAATAGCCCGGGGGGGGGGGGGGGGGGGGGGGGGGGCTAAATTTAGCCCCCCCCCCCCTCGACATTTTTCGTGATAATTTTTTAACGCAAAAAGATCTCGCAATGAAATTTCATATGAAAGCTCTTTAAATATGCGAAAATGGTTTCCGTTCGATAACTTTAGTAATGTTTGACGGATTTTAATGAAATTTGATATTCCATAAAGTAGTAAACTTTCTGTACATCCAATCTCCAGGTATTAGTAACTTCCTTGCGTAGTAATATAATAGTAAGTCTACTGGAGGTAACTTGTTTTAACGTATAGGTAATTTGTACTCGGCGAGGGGATGCGACGCTTAGCGTTGCTCTTGTTTTTACTGCATTACTACTTTCTGAACCAATTCACCCGTTTGAATTTGTGTGTTTTGAACTTGTACCTTTCTCTTCTTCATGCTTCCTCGAGGAGCCGATGTATTTGCATTCTAATGTGAACCTGTGTCATCATTACAAATTTTCAAAATACTGCATCTTCTTTTTGCTCAAGAATTGTGCACTTTGTATTCTTTGTCAAGGAGATCAGTACATGTACAACCAGACACTAAAGCTTTAAAATCGTCTGGAAGTCCCCTTCAAGTACAATATATATACCTTAAAGTTAGGAAGCTAAGATACAATGGTTGCAAGTCGACTTGTTACATCTTCATCATCGTAATAACCACCATCACAATATTGACAACTAAAATTACAATAAACATCAATCCACAATTTAGGGAATTACCTGAATTGCCTTGTGGTGGCAGAGACTCAAAATGTTATTTTCAGGGGGGGGGGGGAATTCTATTATCAAATTGCCAAGAACAAGTTAATATGAAGGTACATACAAAGTGATGCATTACATTAAGAATAAAAAAACAAACACATTCTTGATCAATGCATTGTCAATTTGTGCTGGAAAAGATTTTTCACTCAGTTATTGCTAATGTAAGGATTTACCAATTGTATGCTTTGAAATTTCTGTTGAAAAGACATTTTATTGAATTTGAACAATTACATGTCTGAAATTGTGATTTGTTTTTTTTTACTTGTCTTCGAATTTCTATAAATTTCCATCTAATTGTTACATAACAGTTATTTCTCTGCTCCACAGTGGTACTTCATCTTCAATAGATATAGATGTAAAGGTGAAAATAGGCACCCACACACATGAAAAGCAACGTTACAAGAAGAAGAAAAAATTGACACAGAAGGCAAAAACATGGACATCCAACACTATTGTTGTCACATAAGACATTTGGGAAACGAGCAAGATGAATGACAGGTATAACTTTAATTGCAAGTAAACAAAAATAACACTTCGACAACAGACTGATTTATACAAACACAGTCCTTTGATTTCAGGAATCAGAACATGGAATCAGTGAGGAATCCCTCAACATCTTATTGAAATATGTAGAGGTTAATATCTTTTGTATGCTTTCTGAATGAGATAGGTCAAGTTTTGTTTTGATTACCAAGAAAAATGACCTTTTGTGATTTTTTTCCCCCTAAATTTTGTATATTATTGCTGTTCGCCTATGACATCACAAATTCTTATCAAGAGAGGGCGACGTGGAATTTATCAAATTTCAAGAAATCATAACTCTTGAATTGATCATCTAATTTTGCTCAAACTTTCACTAATCTGCTTAAAAGTTAAATATTTATTTTAATGATGTATGGGTATAATTGTCCTTAAAGTGACAGCTGGAATATTAAAATACTTACATGACCTTTGATTTTGGCTAAATATGGGGGTCCCCATGCATGAACAATATACCCACCAAATTTTTTTTTTTTTTTAAATTATTCACATTTTTGTAAGCACTATGGACAGATGACATTTTGATCTCTTAGTTTTACTCCACCTGGGTGGCTCTACAAAGATGGCTAGCCATAGGGAACATAATAGTATACCTATTATGTAATGGGAGCTTGCTCATCTGTCGGGACCAATTAAAAAAAGTCTTCATTGAATAATTGATTGAATTTATTTAACCACGGTAAAAAACTTAAACATAAATCATACAGAAATTACATTGAATAGAACTACACAGAGAAACAACCTAGTAATAATAAGCATAATTAATTAAGCATGATAATGAAATGAATACGATAACAATGAGAGAAACATAATAAAAACAAGAAAACCTAACAATACATGTAAGATGTCTGTCATTTGTATAGTAACTGAAGGGAAAAGGAGAACAAAGATGAGGGAAGAAGAGGACGCGAGAGCATATAGGGGGAAGTCTGAGGAGAAAGAGGAAGAGAAGGGGAGAACATAAGACAGAGAGAGAGAGAGGAAGAGAAAGAGGGAGGTGGAGGTTGGGGGGAGACTGACACTTTAATGGTACAATGCATCTACCTCTGCTTCAAAGAGCTTACGATTTGAGAAAAGATACTCTTTCAGGCAACACGTTGTATATTTGGACACCCGTATAGATAAATCCCATTGTTTGTTTTGAGTTTTCCTAAAGATAGTTTATGGCCGGAATTTCTGAGCCCGTAAGAACATCCTTTTAAAGAAATGTGTTCGCATAATGACGTAGGAAGCAATTTGTAAACAAGTTTGAAGATCTATCCTAGGGCTTTCCTTTTCCAACGTATTTGGACACGGTCAATTTTACTAAGAGAATAGAGCAGATACTATCTCATTAAAACGAGATAACTATCTCATTAAAACGAGATACTATGTCGTTTTAACGAGATACTATCTCATTAAAACGAGATAACTATCTCGTTTTAACGAGATACTATGTCGTTTTAACGAGATACTATGTCGTTTTAACGAGATACTATCTCATTAAAACGAGATACTATGTCGTTTTAACGAGATACTATCTCATTAAAACGAGATAACTATCTCGTTTTAACGAGATAAAAATATATTTACCATGTCCCTTCCCGGGCTCCGTAATTAATGGTATAAATTTCATGTCAAAATTATTTTCAATTTTTTCAAGTAATTAAAGATTAACATTTTTCAAGGGCATTTTTACTTGTATAATATTGGACATGTGATTACCTAATGAAGATGACGTCACGTCGAGTTTAAGTCGTCAAACCGAAAGTATAGGGCAACTCATACACTAACTAACGGTCTTCATTATAAGTCTGTAAAATATTCTGTTCTTGAGATATGATGGTCGAAAGACACGCATAAAGAAAAAAATGGCACCTGGAAGGTTACGTGACCATTTTCTCGAGAAAAAATCTTGACGTTATACATCATGTTAAGAAATTTCATTGATTTAGCTTTTTCCATTATTGAGATATTTGCCGAACAAATTTACATGAGAGAAATAAAAAGAACTAAATTTGTAAAAAGAAGATAAAAGAAACTTGACGAAATTAAGAGGTGATCCGCTTAGCAACGGATCACCTAATAAAAAATTGAATTAAGTGTAAAAAATATAACAGTGCCGTGTAGTCTTTATTTACAGATATCGTATTGTTGACGGAAGCGTCAAAGATCCCAGGCTGTTGATTGGTCCGTTCAAGTCACATGATGCACCAACCTTTGAACAAAACGAGCATGTACTTCCGCAAGTTACTGCCTCTGTAGCAAATCAGAGAGAACGGAAATGTTATTGATTTATTCATTTATGTTCATAAATATATTATTTTGTTCTTATTTGTTCAGTTTGGTTCAGTTCGTTACCTATGAACTTTTTTCTTAAATTTATCGTTTTTTCAGTCGATCATTATTTTATTCATTTATACAATTACGTATCTATTCACCTTTCTTCTATTATTATTATTATTATTATTATTATTATTATTATTATTATTATTATTATTATTATTTATTCGGCAAAACAAAGTGTATACAGAGGATTACATAAAAGAACAAATCATACAAACCAAAGGATGAAAATCTTTCTTTTTTTAATTATCGTGATTCTCATGAGCATTTACAAGTTGCCAGGAATTGGGCAGGCAACTAAATTACCGAAACCGTGAAGGTCCTCCATTCCGACTTGCAGTACTCATGGGGGATCACTACATAAATACATTGTAACAACTAACAAGAGTATAGCAACACTCAATACGGCAATGATAAAAGAACAAACTCAAATTTTTAAATGAATCAATAAAGTACAAATTATTTCATATGTTATCTAAAGAAAATTATAAAGAGCCAAGCAATCAAAGCATCAACAAAAAATCAAATATGTCTTCGTATTGGACAACGAAAAAGAATGATGGGGTAGGAAAATACAGGCTACGGGTGTCCAGTTATTTGACATAAATATTTATGATTGAATAATTTGTTTTTTTTAACCCCTGTTTATCTTATAAGTCTATCAATTTATCAATTAAGTCACTTATTTTCAATCATTCTTTATCTCAGTTAATTCATTCATTCACACATTCACTTATCTATTCATTCATTTTCAATAATTCATTCGTTTGTCCAACCCTTGGCAAATTTTCTTTTAAAATAAGACTTTTTAAATCAAGCTCATGACCTACCGCAATATATCTCGTCGCTTTGATCAGCACAGTCTGGTTTTCCGTCACAGATGAATGTCAACTGAACACATGTAGCCGATGTGTTGAAGCAGCGCATATAGTCGGGTGATAAACATTTGTTGAAGTCTTTAGACCCTGATATATTAGAAAATAGAAATGTCGAAGTCTTCATCAAGTGACTGATTTTGACATCTCGAACTTGTAAAAATGTTTAATTATTATTTTTTGTTAATGATTTAATTTTATTTCTGCATAATAAATGAATAACCATGAATATATAAACGTAAGGCATGATTACAAATATACAAACAATAATAAATTAATGTCAAAATAATATTTAGATATATACATACAATAACAAAACTTATTATTTCTATAATATATTGTTATAAATTTGTAAAATTATAAAGTATTAATTATTTTCCTAACAATCATAGGCGATGCTTGGCTAGGATATCGGCCTCAAAAGAAAAATCTTGAGGTGAAATTTAAATTTGAAAGAGATAGTAGAACACCGTGCTCGGAGTTCGGGGACTGTAGCTAAGTGGTCAATCTTGCACACGTGGGTCTACTCTCTAATAGACCAGTTCACGGTTGGCACATTTTCTCAAATGACCCCGAATATCCACAGATCTTAAAAACATCGAGAGGTCCCAGTTTGTACATTTTGAAATAATTACTCCTACAGCGATGGAGGTGCTATATAAATAGTCTTTGCTTCCCCTTTCAAAGAATACTTGCACCTGTGGATCATGGAGTGCACTACTTGTGCATAAAATTGAATAATGATTACATAACTTTCATGAGCATGCATCCAGTATGTATGTTGTCTCTATGTATTTGACAATTTGGTCTGCAAACTTTATCTGCTCATGCTCAGACTGTAACTATGAATTGGCTTATTGGAGTAGAAGGGCTATCCATTAACAGCGAATATCTCACCATGATCTCACTAAGCGGCGAATGCGTACGAACGTTGCGAAATTGGATTTGCCAACTTTTCCAACGAATGTTGGCGAAAATCAGCGATGTTTAGCGACAATGAGAGCAACATTTGAGCGAATGTTTACGAAAGTGTTTGCGAAAGGTAGTTGGCGACTATAATCGACTGTAAGCAAAACGTTAGCGACAGGTTTTGCGAAGATTAGCGACTATTTGCCAATCCTTTGCCACTATTTGTGAAGTTTGGGACGTTTTGCTAACTCCTGGTATTCAATCGGTTGATTTTATATAGGAATTATGGTTACGTGGTTGCTAGCATTGGCGAATCAAAAAGAACTTTAGCGACTCCGTTGAATGATAATGCTAATTTAGAACTTCCCCCAAAAAGGGGGTTTGAAAATGTCTTTAAGTGGGAAAATAACGACTATTATTAGTCATATCGACATCAGTGCTACCAAGTCAGTAAGTAATAGTCTGATTTTCAGACCATTGTACCGAATGTTCGTACGTTCTGTGATGCACAAAGATTCAATCAGTTTAACTTTGGCCATTACAAGAAGTGGGTTATTGATGTAGACAAATGCTCATGTACCCTTTCCAGCTCATTTTATGTATTTTATTACCAAAGAAGAAAATAAGCCAGTCAGTCACTCAATAGTGTCTGACAGTGAAGTCTAGCAAGTAAACGGGTTTCCTTGCATAATTTGAATATTAGGACACTGCTAACGTTTGGACTTCACAGATATGACATACATTACATATTCATAATTCCCGCATAGTTCTAAAGAATTTGATGTTGGCTGCAAAAGGGACATAGTATCTGTAAGCGCCTTCAGAAATATTTTATTGGATTTTGCGCCATAAAAAAGCAATTTCATGTATGAAAGTGACTAATATGCTTTGAGTAATACATTTATTGCAAGATCTTCGTGAGTGTTTTACTAAGTAAAACTATTGTAGTGTCTTCTAAAAATAAAAGTGAAAAAGAACTGGGGGAAAATACGTAAAGTGATTGATGTGTAATGATGGAGGCTTGAATATCATAGTCAGAGAAAAGACATGAGTTTAATAAAATAAATAAAAAGGAATAAATGACAATAAAGAAAAGATCATGTAATGGTTGACTTCGTTCTTCTTATTTTACTTCATCTGAATCACTTCAGGATTTTCATGTAATGACACTAATGTATTTTGAATGATTGACATGAAATCTCTACGACACATCACGAGCCCATTTTCACCCGCTAATTCTGGAGCAGTCATTTACGAATCCAAAGACATGATGCAGCTAGCTCGTCTATTTGACATAGCATGTGTATAGACGTCCTTGTAATTTCTTTGAAGTAAAGGTTTTCATCGTTCTTTTGTTTCGGTTCGTGTCATTTTCCATGTCTATTACGATTTGAAAGACATATTGATCAAAAGCCATTTCGAATGAGACTTTCACGGGCTAAGGGATCGGATAAAATCTTTCTGGCATGAAACTCATCAAAAATATAGAGAACAAAACGTTCATGCCCTTGCGTTTAGCCCAATTTAACACGTTGAACAAAAAAACTGAAGTTTTGACATGAAAACCTTTATGTGATTCAGAGCAATGCCTTGTTCAAAACCTACATAGTTGAGTGCAATGTCATGGAATGAATAGATCACACGAAGTATGCCATTACGGTGTTTGACATTTCTTTAAACTCTTCGAGATCGTGTGACTTTTCATTTTTCTTTGATTCGATAGACCTTCAATCATAACAATGGAGATCACATACTTCACAAACGTCGATCTCAAAAGAAAAAATCAAGCGTCAAGTGATGTCTGAAGAAAAAAGAAAAAAAATGTTACGAAGAATTTCAACAAAGTGTGATGCGACATTTTAAGTCCTAAATGTAAAGAGAAACTCTTTTCGAGTGAAACAGATGGCGTACCGTATTTGATCATATTTATTTCATAAGAAGGCGATTGAAAGTTGTGCATTGTTCCTCGTTTGGAGAAAAAAACGCTACCTTCTCTGTGACTTCAACAAACATATCTTCACGAAGAAGCGTTTGGTCTCCATTAACACAAACTTATGATCGACATCAATGGTTTTCCTTCGGAATCAGTGTCCAATGTCTGGTCGATTTCACTGTATGACTTTAAAAGATTATAACCGCTGGAATGCAGGTCAAACTAATCAGTAAACACAATGAGAAGGGAAGGTAATCATGGGGTAACGAGATGAGGTGCATGGGCTACATCCCCCGCCCCTCCCCCCGTATTTAAAATTCGCCTCATATTCGGGCAGGGAGTTTTTTTTTTAAAGCTAATTACAATAATGTTCAACTTTAAATAATAAAATCAAAATTGTTATCGTCATTATTTTGTATTGTATTATTATCAGTATGTTTTTCTTGTATTTTGGTTTTTGTTCCATCGAATTTTTTTAGAGAAAACTTTATTATATGACAATAAAAAAATATGATATAGGTCATCGCCCTGTCCTCAAATTTTAGTGCATCGCCTATAATCTCTCCCAGCTGCACTTTTTAAGGCCTAAGGGTTACTCTATTTAGAATTAATGAATGCGATTAAGTAGTTATCAATATCGCACAATACATAGGTTACAAAGATGTTTTTTAAATCTGTACGGATACGCATTGTGGTAAATTATCATACAAGTGGTGGTTCACAATGCGACACGGGCATCGCTTGATACGTACATGACATTCATGCCATGGGTCGAGCATACGTAAGTTATTGAGGAGTATCGATAGATGTAAATAAAGTATTGATATCATGGTAAGGTTCGTTCATACGTAAGATACTATATAGGCGCATCGCTCAACGCGTATGTGGTATATTGAAGTTTTCCTTTACACGAAGATAGTTAGGGGCATCGCTAAATGTGTATGGACACATCCCCTCCAAATATATTGCAAGAAAATCATTCAAAACGTTTGATGATGATAAGAGAAGTTTTTTAATTCTCTAATTAATGAATGTTTGTCCATGTGTTTATCGCGTTTTGTGTGGCTGAGAATTATACATTGCACACGAGGCGTTCATAACCGGTTTACTAACATATTCAAATTTACTAACATAATCAAATTTATGGATGTTTCTTTCCTATAGGGGCCTAGTGGTGAGCTATTTTATTAACCTGTTATTAATAAATGAACTACAATAATTGGAATCCATTCAGCATACGTTGTGGCGTGCGCCTGTAACCCAGCTAACAGTGGAAGTTACAAACTGATTCAGGCGAGGACGCAGGTTCGAAACTGAGTCACGTCTTTCGGATGGTGACGTTTAAAGGTCGGTCCCCAGACGTAAATAATCATATCTGATCATGATTGATACACGTCTGTAAAAACCCAAATACACACACACACTTTACTTATTGCTATGTTGAGCAAGCCTCGGACCAGCTTTCAGATTGTCAAGAACAACCTCTGTTTAAAAAGTATGCATTATATTTGGATATGTTAACAAAGCGAAATATTTGCTGACACATGGCTACGTCAGCGGCTAAAGGTATCATTCATCACATCACGAACAACAAATACCGGCGTAGTATTT